AGGGTTGAGGGCGGAAGTGCAGGAGATGGGCCGGACCTGGTTGAGGGCCCTGTCGACAGCGGAGCTGGGGAATCCTCGGTTGAGGAATAAGGTGGACATTTTGGAGGCTCCCTTGTTGAAATTGGCCTCATCTGAACATATGCGACGGAGACGGAGGAATTGAGAGAATGGGATGGAGTCTTTACAGGAAGTGGGGTGTGAGGATGTATAGTCCAGGTAGCTGTGGGAGTCAGTGGGTTTGTAATGGATATTAGTGGCCAGTCTATCCCCAGAAATGGAAACAAAAATGTCGAGGAAGGGAAGGGAGGAGTCCAGAGATAGACCAGGTGAAAGTGAGGGCAGGGTGGAAATTGGAGGCGAAATTGATGAAGTTTTCCAATTCCAGACGAGAGAGGGAAGCAGCACCGATGATGTCATCGATGTATCGGAGAAAGAGTTGTGGGTGGTGGCCGGAATAGGACTGGAACAAGGAATGTTCCACGTACACCACGAAGAGACAGGCATAACTAGGGTCCATGCGGGTACCCATGGCAACCCCTCTTACCTGAAGAAAATGAGAGGAGTTGAAAGAGAAGTTGTTGAGGGTGAAGACAAGCTCGGCCAAGGGGAGGAGGGTGGTGGTGGGTGGGGATGGTTCAGGTCTTTGCTCCAGGAAGAAGCGGAGAGCCCTAAGACCCTCCTGGTGGGGAATGGATGTGTAAAGGGATTGCACATCCATGGTAAAGAGGAGGTGGCTGGAGCTGGTAAACTGGAAGCTTTGAAACCGGCGTAAGGCGTCAGATGAATCATGGATGTATGTGGGTAGAGATTGGACCGGGGAGAGAAGACTGGGTCAAGGTAGGAAGAGATGAGTTCTGTGGGGCATGAGCAGGCTGAAACAATGTGTCTACCTGGACAGTCCTGTTTGTGGATTTTTGGCAGGAGGTAGAAATGAGCTGTGCAGGGTTCGGGGACTATTAGCTTGGAAGCGGATGGGGGGAGATCACTGAATGAAATGAGATCCATACCCATAGTGGATACAATGGCCTGATGTGCCATGGTGGGGTCATGGTCCAGGGGAAGGTAGGAGGAGGTATCTGAAAGCTGGCGCTCAGCCTCTGCAAGGTAGAGGTCAGCACGCCAGACAACAACAACACCACCCTTATCGGCAGGCTTGATGACAAAGTCAGGGTTAGATCTGAGTGCACGGAGTGCAGTCAGTTCAGAGGGAGATAGTTGGATTTGTTGAGAGGGGCAGTGAAATTGAGGCGACTAATGTCACGTCAACAGTTCTCAATGAAAAGATCGAGTGCAGGTAAAAGGCTGGAGGGAGGGGTCCAGGTGGAGGGACAGTGTTGGAGTTGGGCAAAGGGGTCTGTGGGACAGGGAGAGGACTCTTGTCCAAAGAAACGAGCACAGAGGCGAAGACGGTGGAAGAACAGTTTGGCGTCATGTCGTGCCTGAAATTCGTTAAGGTGGGGATGCAGAGGGATAAAGCTGAGGCCTTTGCTGAGTACAGAGCGTTCAGCATCAGAGAGCGGAAGGTTAGGAGGGATGGTGAATACCCGACAGGAGGTGGAGGTGTTGGGGGAGGGGATGGAGTCAGAGGGAAGGGGAGGAGAGGTAGGTTCCAGAGAGCCATGGGTATTTTTGAGTTGTTGCATCTTGTGGGCCTTGATGCCTGAAAGGAAAGGAAAAAGTTTCTTGTTAGCACGACGAATGAGCCGGAGGATGAAGTGGAACTGCGGAGTGGTGCAGCCCTGAGCCAGCACCTTGCGATGCTGTTGGAAAGAAAGGTTGAGAGTGCGCATGTGACGCCGCATGGCACTGAGCGTGGATCTCAGGATGCGGCAAGAGCAGCTGTCCATGGAATGTTGAACATCACGGAGATATCTGTGATCCTGGGAGGATTCAAAACATGAGGGATGAAAATTCAGTTGGAATCCACATGGGGTGAGTCTGAGCCGGAGGCAGTCACTGAGGAATGTGATATGGCTGTGGAAACGAGTTTTAGCAAATACTCGGTCAAAACACCAGGAGCAATAGCGAAATTAATGTGGTGTGCAAGAAGAAAGATGGGAACGGAAATCCCGTCGGAGAGAGGAGCTGAACTTCTTCAAGGTGGGCATGCCTGGAAGAGATGTGGCAGTGAGTTAAATACTAAATAAAAACCAAAAGAACTGCAGATGCTGTAAATCAAGAACAAAAACAAAGTTGCTGGAAAAGCTCAGCAGGTCTGGCAGCATCTGTGAAGGAAAAAACAGAGTTAACGTTTCGGGTCCGGTGACCCTTCCTCAGAACTGGTCACTTAAGTCACTGCCACTTCCAATATCTCCAATTTCACATCTGACTCTGATATTTAGGCCCCCTGATCTATACCCAGCTCTGAACTTCTAAACTCTCCTCCATTACACTGTGGAGTCCAGCCACCAATACTGCAGACTCCTATGACCTTACCAAATCACTTAACTGCACGTTGGCACATGTATGTCTCTGCATTGAACGTTCTCCACGACCAGGAAACCTGAGAGCCAAAATCACAAGCTCCTCAAACCTTCCCATTTGAGAATTGTTAGAACTCTGCAGAGGTGGTGCTCAGAATTGAATATTGCTGCAGTTCTAGGCCAGGCAGTATTGACAGAATGACATTATCTGTTCTAAACCTCATTATTCTGCTTTGTGTCCCCCAAAGAACATGTGCAGACAACAGCAACCAACCAAGGTAGAAGATAAGAGTTTAATGTTAAAAACCATCCATTAGTGGATAATTTTGCAATTAATTTGTCTGATTTGTAGACTCTTCTGATTTTCAGTCAACTGTCTGTCAATGAGCTATGGTGGTAACAATTTATTCAACATGAGGTTTCCCTATGGGAATTCTCCTGTACATCGCTTTCGTGGAAGAACCAGAGAAGGATGGTGGTGAAGTTCAATTGATGAGGTATCGTAAGAGGATGTTCAGTCCCTCTGTATGTTACATGGAGGGCTTGTTATCAGGCTCCTTCTGATGTCTTAAGGTTACCAGTTATGGTTAAATGTCTTTCTAAGGTTTTCATAATATGATCTGCTTCCATGCTTCAACCATTAGTTGGCCACTGCATCTGCTCGTGTGATACACTGCCTTCCTATAGCAATTAGAAAGCAAAAGCCCTCATTATTCTGATTCACTATCTACCAAATAGATCATTTTCCCCGTTGTTATTAATTATGTATATGGTAAAGAGAAACATTCAAACATAAAACATTTTTTTGTTTTCTTGATAATTTCTGTTATAGATCTTTAAAAAAGAAAAATTAACAAAGTGATAATTGGTCCTTTAAAAAGTGACTTTGGGGAATTAATGGAAAATAAGAGACAGCAAGCGAAAGAACAATTACTTTGCATCAGTTTTCGCTGTAGAGGATATGAGTAAATCCCAGAAGTAGCTGTAAGGCAGGAGGTGGAAGAAAGGGAGTAATACAAGAAAATTCCAATCACCCGTAAATTGTTAGAGCTGTGGCCTAACAAATCTCTGGGTCCTGATGGACTTCATTCTCGGGTCTTAAAAGAAGTTACTTGTGAGATAGTTCATGTTGGTGTTAATTTTCCAAAATACCCTAGATTTGGGGAAGGTTCCATTAGATCAGAAAATAATGAATGCAACTCCTTTATTCAAAAGAGAGGGAGATAGAAAGCAGAAAACTTCAAGCTAGTTAGCTTAACATTTGTCAAAGGAAAGGTGTAAGAAACTGTTGTTAAAGACCTTGTTTAAAGCAAAATTCAAGGTAATCAATGTAAGCTAGAGATCTGCCTAAAAGGCTGCAATTTACAAAAAAAAACTGTTGGTGGTGTCAGACATGCAGCCATCCTCTGCCATTGGGAATGTGTTTACAGTCTTTGTGAAGATAACCACTGCAGATTCAGAAATGAACTTGGAGAGGGTAGTTTCACTCTTCTTCAGTTCACCATCCTATAGAGTGTAAATCCAAGTTGGTGTTACTCATTGTAGCAGTAATGTCACTGGACTAGTAATTCAGGATCCCAGGTTTATGTTCTGGGGATATGGCATATGGTGAAATTTGAATTGAATAAAAATCTGACACAAGAAAGTAGTCTAAGGTTGACCATAAAAACCGAAAGAACTGCAGATGCTGTAAATCAGGAACAAAAACAAAGTTGCTGGAAAAGCTCAGCAGGTGTGGCAGCATCTGTAAAGGGAAAAAACAGAGTTAACGTTTCGGGTCCGGTGACCCTTCCTCAGGTTGACCATGTAACCATTGTCAATTATTAAAACCCATCTGATTCATTAATGTCCTTTTAGACCTGCCATCCTTACCTGGTCTGGTCTATATGTGACTCCAGACTCACTGCAATTAAGAATGGCCAATTTGTTTTAGTTATTTAACCTATTTTTATAATCCACCCATTCAGAGATGTTATTATTTACCTCTGGAACAGGAGGGACTTGAACACAGGCATCTCAGTCCAGTGTTAGGGTCACTACCACTGTGCCTCAAGAGGGTCATCCCCAGGAACGAGCCAGAAATGCTGATGCTAGCCAGAGGCACCTGCATCCCATGAATGAACAATAATTAACAAATGGTGAGATGAAAGTCTGGCCATGGATATAATTAGGCCTGCGCAGAACCCTCTCTTAAACAATATGGTTAAAATTATCATCTGGCAGGAGTCTAAACTGAGTTCTATCTAGCGAGAACCTAAAATACTGCTATTGATCCCAGACTAAAAATGCTCTCTTTTAAAAAAAAGATGAGAAATGTAGATTAGATTTTTAGATTACTTCATTTTTATGAAAGTCTTCAAATAATAAATGTGAAAAATTGTGTATGTACGTTCATTTAGTAAAATCAGTTACAACTTTGAGTGAAGTCAGAGATGTTTAATTACCCAATACTTAAAGTCATTAGATGTTATTTAATAGGAAACGTTATCACTGGTTTATACATCTTGAAATAATTTCTTGGTTATTACCATTCAAAATAAGTTATATGAATATAATATTTGTTTGCTTTCTCCCCAGGTTATTACCCTGGAAGGATGGGTAGACATCATGTATTATGTTATGGATGCACATTCTTTTTACAATTTTATATATTTTATACTGCTTATAATAGTAAGTATGTGTATTTTAAGAGCTTAAAATTCAATGTTTTTCTTTAATGGTGAATATCTCCACAACGTGCAATTGGTAAAATTTTACTCATTGGGATGCATTTTCAAATTAGACAGTGGACTAGAAAATTTAGATGATTTTCATAGCATATGGATAAAAGATAAAACAATCTTATTTATTTGAATAGATAAATCAATTAGAAGTTTAATTTATGAACAATGTTGACAGAAATGTATCATAAGAATACAGAATCATAATAGTTGTAGTACCTACATATCTAGTAGTGCATGTTGTAAATTGTTTTGCACCTTATTCACTCACTAGTTCAGAAATGGGTACTTCAATAGAGGAAGCACAAAAGTAAGTCAGAGCACTGCTGAACACTAGCAGAATCAGTTGGAAGAGAAGGACCAGGGAACTTTGCTCAAGGATGGTGCATCTTTCTGCCTAGCTGTTAAGGTCAGGCCCAAATTTCAAGGGAAGAAAACATTTTGATGATAAATTGTTGGGATTATTGGAGGATTGCCAGCAAGCATGGAGGAGTCTTGTAGCCATGTGAATGAAATGCTAAGTGCCATCAAGCATAACCTGCAGACAGTCTTGAATAGAATTTGAATGTCATCTGTAATGCAGTGCTTAAGCAGTTACCATTCAGGCCTTATCCTGCAGCATTGGGCATGATAACTTGATGAGTTTACCAGGCAATGACAATGTCATTAATGCCACAAAGGCTATGCAGCTGCAGATTCAAATGAATGGTGATACCGGAGGCTTGAAGTATAATCTGTATAGAAGTGGGTTTGGCAAAGATGTTTCTCTCTCTTGTAGCAGAAGCTCCATACTACTCCTCCACCATAACGCACAACGACAATCCAAGAATCAAAAGCCAGGTTGGGCCAAACAATTCCTATAGTGGCAGACCATTTGAAACCTGTAGAAGGGCCATCCATGATCCATTCATAAAAAGATCATGGACCAGCAGTATGAGCTTGGCACTCTTGGCAGTGGGAATTTACTTAGAAAGGACTCTGGAACAGGCAGATGGGCCCAGAATATCCATTAAAAGCGCAACACCATGCTATAGTGTTAAGCATTTGATAGATTTTGGCACATATTTTTCCATTGTCTGTTTGGCATGTTGAATGTATATGAACGGGAAAACTAATTTTTGTATGCAGATAATGAGGAAATATGAGTGCAAATTTGGCAAAGAGGTTTTTTTATTTTCATTCAACAAGAGATGGAATCCTTGCATGATTGGGGTTTGAGGATGGCAAGGAGCATTCCTGAGTTATAACCTGAAGAAGGCCAGGCAATTTCTTTAGTATTTGTCAAGGGTACTTCTTTGTCTCTAAATATGCAGCCTTGCAAAACAAGTTGAGAGGATCTATCATAATGAGCAGAGATTAAGTTTAAAAGCAACATTCTGAAGTAAGTAACTGTAACACCAGTTTGAATAACAAGAGCCAAACTGTTAGCTTGTGATTTTAAGACAGCTTTGGTGCCCTTTGCGATGGACAGCACAGGAAAGCAGAGATGGCAAATGTTTTTGAATGGCAATTGGTCCTCACTCTACGCTTAGCTAGGACATCTGCCAACAGAGGAATCAGGCATTTATCTACAAGTAATTTACATTGCTATACCACAGTTTTGTCTGGCCACCTGAAAAGCCAAACAGAAAATTAATATTTGATGTTATTCCAACACAGAAATGAGACAATAGA